ACCAATTACTTGTTAAAGTTTGTACAATCAGTGGGATCAGTTGCAATGCATATATGTGAATGATAAAAGTAAATTGCACATTTGTCGAAGGAAATGTAAGGTGCTTCATGAAATGTTTTGTAAAAGATATGTTCATTTAATTTCAACATTTTCCTAATGTTCTTGTGCTTCTTTATACCAAAACAAAGGAAAGACATATTGTTTTGGTTATTTATAGCAAAGTATGGTATCATTTTAATGGTCCGGTTCACTTGACATCTACCCAGGCCGTATGTGGCCCACCATGTGAAATGAGTTTGACACCCCTGATCCAGACTAATAAAGTGGAATTGGTCAATGTCCTATGGCACATGATGAATCTCACTGGTTTAACTTAAATTTGACAAAAGCAACCAAAATGTGCACCTTGTGTTGTAGCCACAGCCACTATGTAAAACAGTAGTACATGTTTGGTCAGTCATAATTTGAATCCTGAGTCTTAAGGCACTGCTGCCCCACCTTGGACCAACACTATTATTAACATTTACCTTTGTAAAAGCTGAATTTGTATCTGGTTGTCGTGGCCATTTGCAGTTAGTGTTGTGTAATTGGGGGTGGGGGGGGCATGTTCATTTCTCCCCAAGTTGTTGCATAAACTCTTTTCTACTACATTCACATCACAAATAACATGTCAGTACCATGTAACATTTTTTTCAAAAGGCCATTCCTACAAATTTCTACAGTATATAAAAGTACATTTCTTCAGGAGGTGAATTTGGTGTTTTTTGTGAGCTGTTTATCAAAATTAAAAACTACAAAAAAAACGAGTGCAACGAGTTTCCATTTTTTTTAATTGAGCTACTGAAATTTTTCAATATTCAAATTTTAGATGCACCTGCTTGGCCACATGACTGAACAAATTAAGTCTTTGCTACATTTTTGTATTAGCATTTGACACATTTATCCTATGGCAGGACTAATCATTTTACAAGGACAGAATTTCCCTGTCCTTAATGAACCCAACATGCATATTTTTGGAATGTGGATTAAACATGCAAAATCCACAAAGGCAGGCCTGAATTGTCAACAATGAGGCAGTCATTGAAATGGCTCATTTCCCCACACTTGTTAATTGATGGTAATCGCTGTTCTCAATATCTCAAGCACCATGTTTGTTGACATGTTAGGTCACACACGCACACCGGCACAGGGCATGTTCAGTTAACACTAGACTGTTTTGTCATGACTGTATGGCCTTTAACTTTTCCACAGCACTGACAAATTCAAGTTCCATTTTCTGACATTTGTTGCCTAGTTATTTTGATTCCCAACCAAACTGCCATGGGATCAGCCATGTCGTGGCAATTTTTTTTATTTTTTTAAGTCGGTCCAAATGACCGCCAATGTTCTTCCATAAGTGACATTTTTGTTTGGTGGTGTGCTGCGAGATTTTCCTAATATAAAATGTGCCTTGGCTCAATAAAAGTTGGCAAACAATACAAGTCATCCTGTGTATGGATATCTACTCTAGGTAAAGATTGCCATTACACTTTTGACAAACCAGAAGCCTTTATTTTTTTTGTGGAAAACAAAATGGCTGTTTCATTCATCATGATCCTGATTATGCACAATCAAGTATTGTAAGTGTACAATTTCATTGTGGATAATTTAGGCAGGGTTATAAATTCAGAAAAGTAATTAATGATTTTCTGTATAGATGCAAACTTGTTGATATATATATCTCTATATACTTCAAATTACAACTCCTGCGACAATTCTGCACCACAAGAGGACATTTATTTTGGGAATTTCCGCAGCGACCCAGACTAAAAAGGGCAGAAATGAGCTGCAGCATCGAGAGGGTGCATTATGGGTCTGCTTCCCTCCTGAGTTGGAATGGTCCCACGTCACAAACGCATTTAAAGCACAACGGCATGTTGTATGGATGTACAAAGTCCTGCATAGACTGGAAAGAGTCAACCTTATCTGAAAATGCTCTCGTTTGACATTCGGCCGGCCCCGAAGACCGTTTTTGATTGGGACGACGTCGTGTTTCCGGACTACGGCGGTCACATTATCAAAAGAAAAGGAGCACAAGTGGGTTTCGTGACGGAATATACAATATCAAATGCATTTTACAGTCAGGAAGCTGCTTTCAAACACGCCGAATAGGGAGAGGGTCTACATGAATTTCTTCTCACTTGTGAGTGCAACGCCGAAGCTTAACAACTGAGAAGAGAACTAGCTCTTCCCCCAGCCAGGCCCCTGCCCACCCTATTGTACATAAACCACATACCATTCAAATAAAATTATTAATCTAGTCAATATGGAATGTGAGCAAATTAATCTTTTGTGATTAAATCTTTGAAAACAAGAGTCCTTCATGAAAGCTTGTAAGGGAGAAAAGTACAAAAAAGGAGGTGGGGGGGGGTTCTTTGTATGATCCCTAAATTTGCTCTGTGTTGATGGCAAGGACAGAGAGACAATAATGGTCTGCTGAAGGACTGACTGGATTCGAGCGCCAGTCAGCATGTGGACAAAAGGGCAGGGGGGACCTTTACATGCCGTAGCCGAATCCCGGCGCGGCGGCTGGCTGACCATACCCGGCCGGCGCCTGGTAGCCGTAGCCATACGGTTGTTGGGGGGGTACGGCGACGCTGGGGCCCGCTGTCAGCATCAGCTGGGGTGTGCCTGCAAAAGAGACATTGCAAAGAGCTTGAGGAGAAGAAAAAAAGGGAACATACCCAATAGGATTGGATTAAATGTCTTGAGTCTTAAGACGCACTGCCCCACCATAAGTATGAAGATGGATGCATGTAACCCTCAGGGACTTATGTAGTCCCCCGCTGTATTAGTTCATCTTTCACACACACTACCGTATATTATTAATTTTTAAGAAATTGTAAATACCGTATTGGCCCGAATATAAGACGGCCCTGATTATAAGTCCGACCCCCTCTTTTTCAAGACTCAAGTTTGAAAAAAAAAAAAATACTTTTTGAACACCAAATTAATTTTTATACAGAAAATAATTACAGCACATCTGAAACAAATGATTATAACAATATATTTGAGATAAAAAGAATGTTATTTGGCCTCATTCAAATCTTAATATCTGAACATTTAAATATGTAAACTAAACTGCAATCACATTCGTAAATGAATGGCTTCTGGTTTTTGAAATGTAAATTACATCATAACTTCTGAGCTGCCGGTGAAACTGGCCGATCTTCGACCCACTTTTCTCCAGATTGTCGCTACGTTTCACCATTTTCTGTTGTCTCTTCTATTATTTTCTTCTCTTTTCTTTCTTACCGCTATTTTTATTTTTATTCTTCGTGACAGGGGTTCGCTTTGGCCTGGGGAGTCAAGTTCGGCATTCGCTTCAATGGTATCTGGCGCCATCTAGCGTCGTGAATGGGTATAATGTCTAGACCCCGAATATGACGACCCCCACTTTTTCAGTCTTATTTCAATGCAAAAAAAACACAGTTTTATATTCGGGCCAATACGGTAGTACCGTAATGTCCCAAGTGTAAGACACCGCCTACAATAATACCCACAATCGCATAAATAAATAAATGAAACACCCTTGTAAATTGGGAATTTCTCCATTGCGAGACTAATAAAGGTTTTTCTTCTCTTAAATTTTTTTTTTTCGTTCTATAACTTGTGTATAATCCAGATAAGGGTCTGAATTGCAGCTTTGATGCAGTCTTGTCTGGGTGGCAGGTGCTTTCTATGTCCGCGGTCGCTTTTTTTAAGATCGGGAACTATAAGTGTCACCTCCCTTACCCTACGCCCTGAGTTGTCATGGTAACAAAATCCATGTCAAATTTGTTCTTAAGGCACCTGAGAGCAGTTTTGTGAAAAATGCACAGGTATCCTTTAAAAATGATACTTCGTACATTTTAGGACAATTCAATCTAAGACAATCTGTTCTCAATACTATATTGTCAATAAACTTTGGATGTAGAAGACAGTGAGGAAAATGTTAATGAGATTTATCCAAATGAGTACTGATGATTAAGACTTTTACCATAGACGATGGGCTGCGTCTCTGTTGCTTGTTCCTCTTCTTTCCTTAGTGATTCTGAGGTTTCAAGCTTGTCCAGCTGTCAACGCAAAGAACAAAACAAAACAAAAAAAGGCTTAGTGGCACACACAAATTACAAAAAGCTCTAGTCGCAACCAAAACAGCCAATAATTGCTATGCCCAAAAACCTGGCCAAAAAGTGAATTTCTCCACGATAAAATGGAATTCGTCTTTTAGTTGAAAGTGATGCGAGAAAAAGTCTGATAATTCAGTGCACCTAAAGCCATTACACATTCGCCATCCAGTTTGCTTCAACAACAGGCACTTTCCCATGCTGTGTGTCAATGTGGTAGAGAGCAGATGAGGCAGGAAGAGACGGTGTTTCTCTGGGCAAGTTTAGATTGCATTTCAAAAATACACACACACACACCATATACACACATATATATATATATATATATATACACATATATATATATATATATATATATATATATATATATATATACACACACACACACACACACACACACACACACACACACACACACACAAAAGGAAGAACTCGCCCCCATGTCACACATGCTCATGCCTGTCAACCGTCAAAACAACTTTTGAGGAGCCACATCTTGCCTTCATGCCATGTACAGCCATTACAGTAGGTTCTCGGCTTGCCATGCAACTAAATAACGTTCTCTATATGGGGACCAACAAGAAATGGAGGGAACTAATAATGTAGTTAATGCAAGAACGATGTAGAATCCTACATCTGGCATTTAGGGGCACATATATTCTCCCGTTCGCATTTTAAGTCAATTCCTTCCATGCCTTTCTAGACATGGGTGATTCTCCCATCTAAGTTTCCGCCACACCAACCATTCGTAACCGGTAAAAACTCGGGCAGCAACCGTTAGAGGTGTGACCCACTCACTCTGGGTAAACTGCAGAGATCGACAGCTAGGGTGGGGGAACCTGTCCTATTAGTTGCACACTGCACAAATCTAGCCTTTATGGAAGAGTAGCAAGAAGAAAGGCATTTCTCGAAATAAATAAGGCCCGTTTTTCAAGTTTACCACAAGCCACCTCAGGGTCACAACAAATTTGTGGAAGAAGGTGCTCTGGTCAGATTGGACCAAAATGTAACTTTTTAGGCTAAATGTAAAATGTGATAGAATGTATAAAAGTAACACTGCACATCTTAAACAGATGCTGTTTGATGGCACCCACAAGCTAATGCAGTGTTAAAACGGGTGCACTGTCTGCACTGGTGAACATTTGGTTGTACAAACTGGAACCATGCATCATCAAGGCTGCAGTAGTCATAACTATTTTAGATGATAAAAATCAAACCGCATTGAAAAGTTCACCTGCTCCTGGATTGCATCAGCCTGCAAGAGAAGACGTTCGGGATTGAATAGAGTTTAATATTTCCCTAAACAAGTTGTATGGACTTCAGCATCCTTATTGTGGCTATACATAAAAAAAATAAAATAAAAAAAAATTCTGAATGGGACACGTAAATCCCAAGCACATTAGATTCGCTTGATGTCGAACGATAAAGAAAAACAAATCAGCTTTGTTGTGCTGCTGGAAGCAGGAACACTCAATACTTGCGCCACAATCTTATGACTCTTTTCATAGTTGTTGGCAAACTGCAGTTGAAATCCCAGCTTCAAAATGGTGACAATTTGAGTTCAACCAACATTTTCTGGGAAAAACAAGCCTCAAAACGCCAAACAAATCTTGACAATTCTGCCCGGTGAGAATCACAAGGACCACCGCCACAGGAGTGTTTTGCTTTTTCTTTTGACTTTTTTTCTTCCTGAAGCCATCACAGAAGCGTCCAAGTGAGGTTAGCAAGAGAACTTCATACAGCATAGGAATACATCCAGCTCAACCGATGAATGAAATATTGCCGGACTTTTTTAATTCAGTTAATCTTCTCTATAAACTTACGCTCAGTGACCGTATTGCTCTGCAGACATGTCTGAATTTACAGGGCAGTAGTTTTACTGTACTGTTAAATGTACAGCAGGACCTCAATTTACAAAAGTTGTTCATTCCCATAGTCATGACGTAATGTGCACTTTTACGCAAGACGTAATGTGCCATAGTCAATCACCAATCTACCCCGACGCAAGAGTGAAGTCATAATTAAATATTTTTATGAAGGATCGGAACAAATGACTGTCATCTTGTGCAACATGCCATAAAAAAAAAAAACAATATCAATGATAGTAAGTTAAGACTTTATGATGAAGGGTCGAGGAAAGAATTAATTTGACATGGGTATGGGAAAAAAAAAAATCCATAAACTTGAAGGATGTGTTTCCAACAATACTTAAAAAATTAAATTAAATAAAGCAACAATTTGGGATGAGCTGCACTGATATAAAAAGTGATTGAATTGACTTACCTTAGTGAGGTGTTCTCTCATGACCTGAATGAAGTATGGCATAGAAAAGTCCATGATGTTGTGCCTCCAGGAGGTCTCCAGCACCACGTCGGGCCGCAGGAGGTCATAGCACGAGAACAAGCATGCAGCAAAACATTCCTTCTTGTTCTGCTGCAGGAACCAGGACAGCAGCTCCTCGGCCAGCTCGGTGTCCTTCGACTCTGCCGCGTATTGCATGGCGTCCTGCAAGGAGCACACAGTGGGTTAGGAAAAGTCAATCTCACCACTCTCCAGCCCCAAAAATAAAGAATTAAAAAAAAAAAAAAAAGGCACCTTGTAAAGCCTGTCCTTCTTACAGAGTTCCACACTCTGTTTCCAGCGGTTGTTACCCTTGAAAAGATATGCGGCAATTCTTCTGAATTCAATCAGCTCATGCTTCTCCAAACGCTGTGCAAGTGAAATGTTGTCAAAGTTGTCGTAGGCATCTATTGATGTCCTCAAGGCCTGCAAGAGATTTTTAAAAAATCATGAATCATAACAACATTCATGTCAGAATTAAAAAAAAAATGGTGAATAACAAAGAAGCTTGCTCACCTGATAGTCCTCTTCTGTGATGAAGAGGTTGTTCAGCGCTTCATTGACGGACTTGTTGTTGTGGTTCTGCACCGAGCGCAGGTAGGGCTTCACCAGTGGCAGCTGTTTCACCTGGGGAAAACCATCACACCATTGTGTCCAGTCCAACAATAACAACAATGGATGCCATTTAACGGGGAAAAGACACATAATGATACTAAGAATTATTTTTAAAAATTTAACAAAAATGATACATTTGAATATTTTATTTTTCTTGGGATCTGCTCACAGCCTCGGGCAGATTATATTGCGTGATTAATCTTTGGTGAGGCAGGAGTGATTCTCCCTCACCTACTTGCTCGGGAAACTGTCAGGAGAGACAACCGCAAATGTTTAAATCCTCACGAGTGTGTTCAAAACAGAGGTCGCCCGATCCACAGACTGTAGGATTGTGCCGTGAAATGGAAACCAGCAATTTAAGAAGCAACCTGAAGCATTTTTGTCGAAACAAGGAAGAGAGAACGGCTGTGTTTACTGTTGGTGAAACGGGACTCCTGGTCATTTACCGTCACCACAGTAAAAATGACAAGAGTTTTCCCTGTCAAACTTGTGAGCAGGTAGCCTTACCTTCATACTGTACATTTCCTCAACTACTACACTTTTAGTCTTTGTATTTTCCTGCAGTCTGCATGCCACTGTGGCACATAGTTGCTTGCCCACAGATCAAGGCTTGGTCGGCAAAGATATCTGTGCAGGTGTGGGATGCTATGTTGGTGATTTCAAGAACATTGTGGCACATTTTTCCCTCCTCCTCATCTACGGGGTCTTTGACATTTTAAGAAGCAACGTGTGTGTGTACACGTCACTGAACACGCTGTTATTGTGAGAAGCTAAGAGTACCTTGCTGAAGAAGTTGACAGCACGAGAGTGGTCCAGTCTTGGAGACAGCACGATGAGCAGATCATTCAATAATAAGGGCTTGAACTCCAAATAGAACTGGATGGCTTTGTAGTACAGTTCAACATTGGCCACCTGCACAGGTTAACAAAGAGAGAACACGTTGAAGAAACTAGTTAGCGAGAATGACAGTATGAAAGGCATGTGGTCTACAATTACATTCCTGCCATAATTGTATCAAAAAAATATTTGGCAAGGGCACGATAACCCGGTTGTTGATTAAGAATTATGCCAATTGGGTGGAATAGCTTGCGTCGAAGCAGTTGAGGCCAAAAGTGGAGTGCACATCGGGAGAAAAAAAAAATCTCAATGAATAAATACAGATTTTTACCCATAATTTGTCAAAAACTTACCGGTAATCAAAACACACTAAATGACGCCCTTGCGACAAAACTCAAGATATACCTTAGTGACTATGTCTTTGAACTGTCCTTCCTTCCAAGCATCCGTTGGGTGGCTCATCATGGTAATGATGGCGTTGTCGTACTCCTCATACTTGTCGTATAGGAAAACCAGTTCGGCCCACAGGTGCGCTTGTTCTGCTGCTCTCAGGACCTTGGGGATGTTCACTCTTGACCAGAAGAGCTCCAGGTGCTCCCTCATCTTCTGGGGTTTGAACTTTGAGTAAAGGATGGCCAGCTCTGTGAACATGCCCATGTGTGCACGCTCCAGGCCCAGAGCCGCCTCCAACATGGTGATCAGCTCCTCAAAGTAACCGCGGTCCTGAAGGGGAAGATGAGAGAATGACCTCAGGTCAGTAGGGGTTAAATGCTAAACGCAAATTTGATTAAATACCAAGTTTTAAAAAGAGTTAGCGCTCCCAGTTGTTTTGCGGCTAGACTTATTCGACCATCTGTCACAGAACGACCTATACATGGAAATCATTCTTACTTGGTAGTAATTGATTAGCTCTTCCAGTTCATCGGCGTGCACCACAATGTGGAGGCCGCACATCTGAGCCAGTCGGAATTCCTGTCCATCTACGCAGGCGAAGCAGACTTCCTTCCAAGTACGGGTGCTGTTGGCTTTACGGGCGCCGTCTACTGCAGCCTGGTATTCCCCGAGGTGCACGAGGGTTGAAGCCAGTCGACCAAAGTTGGAGACGTTGTTGTACAACAGCTTAGCAGCCTCGTACATTTTCTCATCAAAGCAGCGGTCCCCGACCTATGAGATTAGAAACACAAATATTGACGGGAGGTTGAGTTTTGAGCCAGCAACACAATGGCATAATACACCATGAGCACAGCTCACCTGCTGAATGTGAGCATTGTTGGGTCCGTTGATGAACTCTTCCAGTTCGGCGAGACGATTGGTCTTCGCCAGTGCAAAGATCAGCTCTGTCTCCACATAAGACTCGCGGGCCTTCTTACGGGCCATCTGGAGGAATTTGACCAAGTCTTCCCAGTTTCCTGAAACACAACATGGAGTTGTAATGAAGGGATTTTGAAAACAATTGCCCTTTGTTCGACAAAGACATTCTTGTGACATTCACAACTTAGTCATTTCAAATTTTGTTATTTGCCAACCTGAATGTTGACATATCGGGCACAACCATGGACCTGATTAAGAGCCGCAACAGCAAAATGTAGCCATTTAAAAAAATGTTTTGCATATATTGGCCGCTTCATATAATTAACCGATGGTCTCCACGTTGTCACATGGGATATTTGCAAAGAAAGAGGTCACAGTTTGATTTAACTTTTATTTAATCTGTTGTCAGCGACAATGCGAGTTGATAACCAAAACTGAGTGACGGCTGCACACTGCTCATTATACTCAACTCAAGACTTCTTTTTGCTCTCAATTCCTCCTTACACAGTCGAGTACCGCTATGTGCACAATCTTCCGCATTTCTTTCTCACCTCCTTCACGTGTGCGCATTCCAACCACAAATGGCTGATGAATATTCAGCATGAGGCAGACCACGTTGACATGTTTGGTACTTAATTTAGATGTGACAAGACCGTCGGTAAATTGATTAGCGGCATGAAGCTCATCACGAACAATTCCTAACTGTCACATTAAAAGCTGTACGGTTCAAACCGTGGGGAAAAAAAAAGTAGCAGTTTATAGTCCCGAAAGTACTGTAAAAGCCTTTAACGACAACCTTTGTAACAACTTAAATCCGTAGCAAAAGTATTTGACCAAGTGAGGCTAAAGCAGGATTTTTTTCAGTTAATACATTTTACAAATGGACTTTTTCCTCTTCACTGGATCTCTCCATCCATCAGGCCACTGAAAGTTTGGCTGACTTTGATGCTTAAAGTCGAAAATCCCAATTTAGTAATGCACCTGCCACTGGCCTAAATATGGTGAGAATTATTTTGAAACTGTTGAACCGAAACGCCTAAAACCCCTTTCGGTGGACTGTTCCAAAAGGCACATGAAGACTTATTTCAATTCTGTCCACCAGATGGCATCACACTTAGGGATCACTGTTAATGACCTGTGAGGTTTGCTCAAAACCAGCAGCTCTCTCTCCTTACCACTCTTATCGGCAGCCTGCACAACCTCCATGTAAGCAGAGGGGTCATCAGCTTTGATGTAGGAGTCTATGGCCTCTTTGACAAGACCCTTTTGGAGTTGAGCTTTGGCCAGCTGGCTCCACACCGCAGGTTCATTGCAGCGCTCTGCGAATTCATAGGCCCGGTCGAGGTTGCTAATGTGTTCAATCAGCACCTAGAGACAAAGAAGAGGGTATAAGCAAGTTAAAAGAAAAAAGTTACCTTCAATGCTTGGGCTATCAAGCCAGCGATACAAAGCAATAAACACTTACCTGCACGGCCGATGTGTTGACATCAAACTTTTTGAAGATGGCAAAAGCCTCTTCAAACAGCTCGTTGCTGATGGCGATGTTGGCGATATCGGGAGCATCGTAGTTGTCAAGTCTGTTGATGTACTCCATCACGCGTGTGCGGTCAGCTTTGATCGCCGTCAAGATCAGCAGATTCTGCAGATTTCTGCAGGCAAGAGTCATAAGGCCCATACTTTCAACACAAATTCTTTTTGACAGTTGATCTTGATAACATTTGGTGAACAGAAATAGGGAGCACTAGAGGCTGCAAGTAAATACCTGTGTTCACTGAAGACAGAGTTGTCCAACACAATCTTCTCCAGTAGCTCAATAAGCTCATTGGGCAAGTCAGCGGTCATGAAGGCCTTGACTGTGACAGATACCTCTTCTGGGTCCTGGGTCTCTGACAGTGCTGTCTGCACCACCTGAGAGAACATCAAAAGCTATATGTACTGTGGAAAAGACAATGAACGCCAACTGAATGTCTATTTGTGAATACCTGGTCAATAAGTGGTCGTCGGTAAGGGTTGGTCTCCAGCAGCACACTAGCCCAGAGATCGGGATCTTTGCGACGCACCAGGTAACGAGATAAGCTCTTGAACAGCGAGTTTTCATTGCAGACCTGTGTAAAAATCAGCAATACAGTTGAATGAAGATCAGGAAAAATGCACCGACAGTCAGGCTTAACATTTATGGAAAATGTTACATTTCCCCCTCCATAAATATTGTGATTACGATGTAATATCAAGTCATTTTTGTCCCGTGGTCCCTTTCTATGTGTGTTTTTTTTCCCCAACAAAAACAGGCAATAAATTAACCTCTATTACAATAAACTATCAGATTTATCATACATAAATGTTTTCGTCTTAGAGGTTAGGTTTCTGGCATAATAAAGGGAAATGAGACTCAATCATCAAGGAAGTCTTACATTGATCAGCTCCTGGTCACACTGCCCTCTCTCATAGGCCACACAAGCTAGGTGGGGGTCTCTTTTCTCGCAGTACTTGCCCACCACGCGGCTATCGTAGAATGGGTTTTCCCTCAAGAAGCGTTCAGGGTTGTTGTTGCTGTCAATGTAGATCTTGGCCAGGGCATTGTGGGTAGCTGGCTCTTCGCAGCCCTCATGTATGCGAGACTCCAGCCATGGCAGCAGGAGCTTCAGTCTTTGAAAAACACACACGTTAACACACATAAAAAAACAGCAAACCTGTACAACCAGCGTTGCTTTGCGCACATTCATGCTGTACTAGAAAAAGGTCTGGTCTGACTGAAGCAATTCCAACAAAATTGGAAGCAATGTTTGTCCAATTAGACTCACTAGTAGGCATTTAAGATTGAAAAGGGAACTTATAGGTCCATCTCAACCCATGATTAAATCACTAAATTAAGAGGTCTGCCTCAATATTTTTGTTCATATTTGGTTTATCACCACAATGTTTTCTTTACCTGTTCCTCTTCTCCACCTCAGCCACAAGTTCATCAGTTGAAAACTGCCCCCTGACTACCAGAATCAGGCTCTTAATGACATCTTCTGAGCAGTCCACATCCAAGAGACCCCCGACCACCACAGGCAGACGACTTGGGTTCACCTACAACACAGACGCGGTTTAAATTTACATTGCAAGGCTCAAAAGTACAGTCTCTAAAAGGTCTTCTAAAATTACCTTCTGAACATAGATCTCAATGTACTTCTGTAGGTTGTTGCGGTACAAGTACAGGACCAAGTCGTGGACAAAGTCGAAACGGTCACAGACGATGATGAGCGGCAGCTGGTCGGTCAGTTTTGCTTCCTGTCCATGACACAAAGAGAGAAATAAAGGCTTATTGCAACCAGAACCATTTAACAACATTCTACAGAGGCTTAAGCAACAACGGGGTTTGCCTTACTATCACACGATCGATTGTGCACAATGACATTGAAACTCATCTCAATCAAACCTGATCAGATATGTCCACCCAGCTCATGTGGTGCTTTATCAATTGAGGCAGGGCTTACAACTACAACCAAGAAATCCTCGGAGTAGCCATCTCCCTATGTAAGAGGCCAATGCAGTTCCTCTGAACCACAATGCAATAGGGTGTGCTGACAAATTGGACTCATCCACAAAAGATTAACAAAGTGGGATTTTGCAATAAAATGCTGCACAGACTTTGGGGTGTACTGAAGGACTAAGACTAAGACCACAACATTTAATTCACTTGAGTACAAGGAACTAGCTCCTTCACCAATTGCTGCAGTCACACTAAAGGATGGACAGCTAGGACTCAGGATGCAAGCATTTGTACCCCTGTGCGTGGATGGATTCGTGGTATGAGAACGTACGACTATACAAATCCCAGTTTCGATCCTTCAAGTTCAACAGGGATGATTTTAAAAAAAAAAAGGGGGGGGGGATTCTTTTCGATATGGAAAGACAGATTTACCTGATATATGTCCTGTAGACAAGAGGAAAAGCACAAAAATCACTGATGTAATCGGTTGAACATTTGTGACCAAAACAACATAAATAATTCGAGGGTTAAGTGCGATCATCAACTTTGAGGACTTGGTAATACGAATGAGAGACTCGATGACGCAAAATCTTGAAAAAGTAGTCATGTATCATCATGATTTATGAGTTCAAAACGTTCCGTGAACGATCGTAACTCAGGACATTGGTCTCTCAATTTTTTCCCCCTATTGAAATGAATTAATATTTCAAAGCACTATTGTATTGTACATCATAAAAACCTTACAACTACAACCAAGAAATCCTCGGAGTAGCCATCTCCCTATGTAAGAGGCCAATGCAGTTCCTCTGAACCACAATGCAATAGGGTGTGCTGACAAATTGGACTCATCCACAAAAGATTAACAAAGTGGGATTTTGCAATAAAATGCTGCACAGACTTTGGGGTGTACTGAAGGACTAAGACTAAGACCACAACATTTAATTCACTTGAGTACAAGGAACTAGCTCCTTCACCAATTGCTGCAGTCACACTAAAGGATGGACAGCTAGGACTCAGGATGCAAGCATTTGTACCCCTGTGCGTGGATGGATTCGTGGTATGAGAACGTACGACTATACAAATCCCAGTTTCGATCCTTCAAGTTCAACAGGGATGATTTTAAAAAAAAAAAGGGGGGGGGATTCTTTTCGATATGGAAAGACAGATTTACCTGATATATGTCCTGTAGACAAGAGGAAAAGCACAAAAATCACTGATGTAATCGGTTGAACATTTGTGACCAAAACAACATAAATAATTCGAGGGTTAAGTGCGATCATCAACTTTGAGGACTTGGTAATACGAATGAGAGACTCGATGACGCAAAATCTTGAAAAAGTAGTCATGTATCATCATGATTTATGAGTTCAAAACGTTCCGTGAACGATCGTAACTCAGGACATTGGTCTCTCAATTTTTTCCCCCTATTGAAATGAATTAATATTTCAAAGCACTATTGTATTGTACATCATAAAAACAAGTAACAATTAAATGAAGTGTGAAAAATTGTATGTTTACCAAGGATTAATTCACTGTTTGTCTCCTTCTGGTGTGCATGCCTTTGCCACCAGAGGGAAGTATAACAGACACGACTAAACATGAAGGAGACTGTCGCAACTGCTCAGTGAATGTTAGGATAAAGCCCATATGCCTTGTGAGTATTGTTACAATGTCCGTATACATGCGTGGCTCTACAATTTGTGTTCATAAGGGTGTATTCTTTGGTGTGTTGCATTGTATTGTATCATTACGCTTGCGCAGTGTTTCTCAACCTTTGAGCCAAGCCACAAATTTCATATTGGAGAAAAATTCACAGCACACTACTGAGCAAAACAATGGACAAAAAGTGGATACATAGGTTCTGTCATCTGGTGGAAGAATTTTTGATTGTTCTGCCTGTTAATATATCTGTGGTTGGCATAGATAGATCGATTAACAATTTTTTTTGGGGGGGGGGGGGGGGGGGCAAACAAATAATTTTCCGTCCAAATAATTAACAGTGGACAATTTCCTGCGGCACACTTGATCATCACTCACGGCACATTAATGTGCACTGAGTCACTGAGCTAGCGGACTTGACACAAGTACTTGGGCCGTTTTTTTTTTAAAGAATTATTCAATGTCATACTCCTGCCTGTGACATTTGCACTGCCACCATCTTGCGCTCGTATTTCAAGCCAAAGCAAAAACAAACAAACGGTCAAGCGACAGTTCATATTTCAAGATATTAAAATATCATTTTGGGGGGGAAAATGTGTTCTGATAATTAAGTGGCAACTCATCCAACACAGGGCAACACACCAAAAAAAAAGTTCGTTAATTAGATGAAATTAAAGAGACAAAGGTGTATTAACCTTCAGGAAATTCTTGACACGCTCAGGATCATAACAGTTGCTCTCTCGACATATACGCTCCACCTCCTTGATTTGGCCTGTCTTGCAAGCAGCCTGGATGTATTTGAAGTGAACCTCGGGGTCTTGGCTGAAGTTCACAATGGAGCCCAAGAAGTAGAAGAGACCTGAAAGACGGAGACAGTTTACACAAGTCCAAGGGAGCCAAGCACAACAGCAAGTATAACATGAAACAACAAACATTTATTTACTTACTATATAAACAATTACAAACTGCTATGTAACATATGTGACATTTTTATGATGAATTTCTGAAATCCAGCAAATAAGGGGTTACAATATTTTCAAAACCAATCCCGCTTTCTAATCTGATCCATGTGGTGCATTCTGCACAGGTTATCGATTGCCCTGCATTGGCTCTGGCTTAATTGCTGAATTGATATTTTGGGGGCATGAATCCCGAGTATGCCACTAAAGCTCAGGGATGAGTTCAATGCCATTTAACAAGCTTGATTCTCCATCATACAAACATGCTTTTGAAAGCAGAGGTGTAAAAAAAAAAAAAAAACAAAAAAAAAAAAAAACATCGTAGGTTAATGTTAAAGGTCCTATGCCATCATAACCCTTTTTTTCTCCAGTTTTATGCATAACATTCCAAAATGCGAGATGGTTGAAGTCTTGTCGATTGCAGGCAATAACCTTTAAGAGGCAATGGGTATGTACAACAAGTGGATCTAAAATAGGCATTGTTATGATGCAGATATGCTACTCATCATTGATGTACCGAGCCGGTCTTTGTCGCGACAGCCGGTTGGCATCGAGAATACGCTGCTTCACTCATATCTTACAACAATGGTAGATGAAATGATCGCCGCTGTTTGTGGGCACCTGCAACTCCTTGAAAACTACTTCTACAAATACCTAGACTTTATGAAAAAAGAGCCAATCTGGAGAGGTGTTGATAGAGGAAAATGGCGTCTTTGGTCAGCAGGTGTGGGAAGTAATTGGCTGCATAGGGGGGCGTTACGAACTTGGGATATAAAAAATTGTCATCAGTTTCAGGAGAAAAAAACAAAAAAACAAGGTCCAGGTACACTATTAAAAATTTGCAGGATTAAATTTTTAATGCGGTGAGAGAGGCAGTGCAGTTAAGGCCTTGGCCACTCTAACTAGTTGGCAATACAATTGCATTCTTGGTATAACAAGTATTATTGAGCTATGAGCCTGTCTCATCGACCAACTACAACAGCTTGAAAAAGGGCACCCAAGGCATTTTCAACCCTGACCTTGAAAACCCAATAAAAAAGCTGTCAAATATAATTTTAAAATACATTAAAAAAGTATAGGCATGGCATCATAGCTTGGGTGTAGGATCTCACCTTCAAAGCTCTTGAAGGATTCAAAGAGCTCTGTGAGAGACTGTGTGGTAAGCTGTTCATGGTACTTAGAAGCCACCTGCACGCATATTTGCAGATTCTGGCGGATGTTGGCTGAGAGCATGGCCCTGAGGCACTCTAAAGAATCCTCCACAGACAGCGAGCCAAAGAAGTTCACCAGCCACTGGAATTTGAAGTGAGTACAACAGTTTTTCATGGTTCCATGCACCGAAATGCTGTTTCTCAGTTACAGTGAAACTCCTCTAGAACGAAACCTACATGGGCGAAAATACCCCCTTATGTGAAAAAATCTTCATGCATTAACACAATTCCCATTCTCCTGCCCCCCATAAGACGAAAACCCCCCTGTTGCGTTATACGAAATAATTTTCTCTGCTCCAGCCTCGCGAAGACATTCACTACAATGAAGTCTTATCCAACAGCGACCTCTACTGGTTCGTTCGGAAACGGCAACAGCAACCACCACACTGGTTTACATAGTGAACGATGTTTATTTCAGTCACAGCTGCGAGTTTGCTGGACTCAACATACTCATAGCTGCTCTGCCATTGGCTTACCGAGCATCATCCTGGCCTCCGATTGGCCAAGAGGGACCTCACTGTCTATGTGTGTAGATACTGAAGCTAGATCCGTAGCATCCGATTAGCTGCTCAGAGTAAATTGCTTATGGCTCGACGGACATT